GTTTATATTCACCTGTTTTAACTGACTTCTTCTCTTTGACAGAAGAATTATATTTTCGTTAAGGGCATCCCAGTCTTTAGCTTCATAACACATTTTCACTATTGCAACTAAGATACGGGATGTGGAAACCATGTCAGATGCCTGCAAAAAAGAGCATATTTGTGATGGAATAAGCAACCTACAATCCTGTATCACTTAAACTTCTATTACAAGAAAAGAAGACAACAAAACAGTACATGCAGCCTCACTGATTTTCTTTTCAAAGACAAGAAAACAACAAAGGAGACAAAAAGTGACACCTCAAATTTCTCCATTGCTTTAACTCTGGAATAAAGGTGCATGCAGGACAACCCTACTTAAATGTTGCTCATGACATCCTACTTACTGTTCTAGTTTGTTTTTCCAAGGAGAGAAGGTTTTCAATTACTTCTTGAAGTCTTCCTTCCTAATATGATAGACAAAAAAAAGAAGAAAAGAAAAAAAAAAAGAAAGCAAAGTTGGCATGGTGCCACCAATTCTATTTTTAGTCAATATACACTAAAAATATTCTATCTCAAGCAAGAAATATAGCAAGTTTCCAACAAGTTTTGCTCACAAAACTTTCTGTGAGACTGTTTTCTTTCCTAGTCAAAGCAAAGCTTCAGGCGAGCACAGATAAGCACTTAAGGTACCTTGGCTGAAAAACTTTTTCAATTTTTATCCACTTTTCCTATTGAAATTCCTTTAAAATGCATAAAATGGCTTGTCAACCCTGCACTTCTACTGGCACAAAATTCACATGTGACACTGCAATGAAATAAGCCTCTGGTTTCCATACCTATCCAGAACTGAGCCCACAACACAGTGTAGGAGCCACCGCTCCAAACACATACATTGCTCATACATTGCTATACCTCTCTCTCCATGAGAGATGCCAGTCCAGGCTGAGCACTGCAGCCTGGAAGGAGCCAGGAACCATTCCTCTAGGACAGAGAAAGACAGCAAGCCCAGTCCTCCGTGTTTGGGGCTTTCCTTTTTTTTTTT